CATCCCAAGACCAAGCAGCCTGCTGCCCTTCTCTCACCCAGGGTAGGAGGCAACACTTTAGCTTCTCCTGAGGTCAAACTACTTAGCTCAGAACACATCGGGTAACACATCAGGGACAGACCACATGGGGAACTGTTGCTTCTGTGATCAGAAATATCGAAAGTACATGTGTCTTACTTGGAATAGGTGCAATTCCCTCTCAGGAGGCAATTTTCCTCACCTCGATACCACATGAAGGCTGTGAATATTGAGTTTTCTTTTATTCCTTCAACTTCTACACATAGAACCAAACCAGTTCTGTAATATCTTATGCAAATCAAGGATTTTTTCGTGAGGCTCTCATGGTGCTAACCTTTGCTCCAGGGCTTTGTATCTGGCACAATACACATGGCTGCGACATGTGGTGTGTCCACCTTCCAGTTCATTGCTGAGTTTGTCCACTCTTATAGAATCTGGACTGGGAGCCCTTTGGGGTCATGAAACTTCAGTAACTACCGTAAGAACCCAAAATTTCTTTGGTCTTAAGAACACACCATTCTCTGAAATTAGGCACCTTGACTAACAAAACATCCTCCTGATTCAGAAAGATCTACAATACCTTTTACTGGCTCTTAAGTCTAGCCTTGCTTTCCAGGTTCTCCTCATTGCAGAGCATTCTGCCTCCAGCACCATCTTTAGCTTTCTTTATCAAGCAAGTACATTAAGCCATATCATAAAGATCTGGCTATATTATCTGAGGTCAGAAGAATTCATTCAGTGCTTTTGTTCAAAATCCATGAAGATAGGACTTTGCTTTAAAAACACCTGCCTCTTAAAAATGTAAGGAGTAGTCAGTTGCTGTTTATGGGCTTGCTCAGATGGAGCAGCTCCCTCCCTGGCTTTATGAACACAGAGTTCAGCGCCTGTCTCATGAAAACTGCAGCAAGAGAGACTGTTGCATTTTGAAGAAAAACTATACACAGCATTTTTGGAGCAAGTAAAAGATCTTTTGCTCTGTTTCTACAGGACATTCACAATGCTCTTCTCTAAACAGATGTGACTCCACTTTGTATCAGGCCTTAACAACCATAATATTTTTACAGTAGTATAATGTTCGGTCTGTACTTATTTTACAAGCTTGACCAGATTTCCTTATCACTGATGTATTTCCCTCAGCAGTATGTTTTCACACTGACTTCTGTCACCCTCGGTTTGTACACTCAGGTGTAAAATCTGTGTACATATTCTATAATTGCATACACATAACCTTTACAAATTTCTTAGCAGCAAACACAGTCCAGATGATTCCAAGGTTTGTGTACACAGTCCTGCTAAGAAGCAGAGGAAGAAAACCTAATCTCAAACTTTTCTGTATTCTGCTAAACACAAGATGAGATGTTTCTTCTCCCTCTTTCAGGCATTTTTCATGTAGTATTAGGCTTTTTCTCCCAATTCCTTTATTCATCCTGAATAGGATTTTACTCCTCAACTAGTCCTACTGACTTCAGTGGTATTCCAGGCAGGGTAAGGGATTTGTCAGTGAGGATCAGCTGCAAAGTCAGGGCCTCGAATTGTAAAATCTTCCTTGTCTGGCATACCATTGTAAAGTACTGTGAGCACTTGCCATACTCTGAGATGGGTCACCAGCATAACGATATCAGTGTCAGAAACATTCATAGTGCTTTTCAACAGTATGCCAGGCAAGAGAGGTTTCCTGTCTCTGGCCCACACCCTGCAACCCAACCCCCACAAATAAACCCTCACCTCTTCAAGGCATTATTGAAGTCAATGGGGCTTTAAACAGTGAGTGGCACAAATGGAAAGACAGTGAGTTTAAGGCACAAAGGGGCTAAAAGTTAACAAAGTCAGTTCTGCCCTATGAGAGTAGCTCTGGTTCCTAGAGCTAGAGAACTTTAAAAACAAGTAAGCTGGTCATAATGGTTTTGAAAGTGACAACAGCAAGAAATTGGCAAGTTAAATGGTTGGTCTCCTCCAGAAATTATTTGCATTCTTGCCCACAGTGGTCAAACACACACATGTGTCTGTTTTTTACTTCACCCGTTACACTGAAGCTCACCCACACACCCCTGATTGATCCTTTACCTGCTGCACAGTATTGCAATGCTGATTACTGCACCCATCCTTTAAGCTTCAGTCCAGTGAAGAGCTTGGTCCCCTGTAACTTTGAGCATGTGAATATGTGCCACTGTCATTATTAAGTCTGCCTGAGTGTCTGCAGTTACACACACTAAGTGTTTTGCTGGATGAGTGCTCTTGTTTCTGGAAGGTAGAGGAGATGCAGGCCTGGAAACACCAACCACTACAAGTCCACCTCTCATTTGTCTCACTTTTATAACTTTGAAGCTCTTCTTTCACTTTGGTAATAATGTAAAGTATCAACTAAAAATTGCAATGCATGCATTTCATTTGAGTTTTATTGCCTTAACAGACAGTATTAGATTACAAAAGAGGACATTTTTCTTCTCAGTTTTAGCTTATTCTTATGATTTATGATTAGATACAGCAAGAGTTCATAAACTTCCCTGACCTGCTGACAGTTTTTACAGGCTCCTTGATTTATTTCCATCTCAAACTTAACAGCTTTCATGTGACTGATATTCCTAGAGTCCTGGCATGGCTGCAGCACAGCCTGTGAGAGCTCCTCTAATCTCCATGTTACTAATTTAAATGAAGTCTTGGTCTGTTGTTTAAAAAAGACATTTGTCATCTCACGGAGGTTTACAGATCCTCTTGTAATGTAATGTCAGACACTTCTGAGATATGAGTTTTATAAAGCCTCCCGATACTGAGTGTTGTAAGACACACCAAGGTCACTTCAATATGCCAAAGAAAAAAGACATTTGCAAAACAAGAGAAGAGGAATTCCTAAGAAACTGTATTGTACAGAGGACATTTAGAAATGATTTATACCATCTGTGAGTACAGTTCAAAGATAAATCTGGTATTGGGAAGAAAAGCAGGGGGAGGATAAATTTGAATCCAGAAAAATCCACAGACACCCAGCCAACAGCTATGAGTTCCTGATAAAAAACAACTCACAGAGCAATATTCTCACAGTCATAGAGGTTGCAGCATCAACAGTTTCCCAGTGTGCTCCGAAGCTACTGTGCTAACTAAGGCTGCTCTTTCAGCAAAGATGCAGCTGGCATTCTGTTTTCATTGTACACTTTCCAAACAACAAAAAAAAAAAGATACATTTTGTAATAACAAAGACCTAACTAGTAAAAGAGAGAAGAGGGAATGAGAGCGAGAGCAACATAAGAAAAGTGGGTGTCTCTCTAAGCTCATACACTGCCCAGCTGAAGACAGAAGGATATAATTATTTTTTTCTCTAGAACATTTAGAAACTGGCACAAGGTAAGTGATGTGAAGGTGTGTGAAGGTGTATAAATGTGGACAAAACCTAAACAGAAAATGTCAGGTAGGTTTTCTTTGATACCGATGGGTAGAGCAGAGAGGGAACAAGACCCGTAAATATTAGTGGAGCTTTGGAGGTTCTCCAGTGAGTATGCTTAGGCGTTTGAGGTCAACTGTGATCAAGCCTCAGTCTGACAGAAAATTGCTTTTGTAATATTTGTAGATCAGTTAAGAAATGACAAGCAACACTAGGTTATGACACGCTGGAGATATAAATACAGGTTGCCCAGATCATATGATTGATTGAACCCTTTTATTTTTGCTGAAGAAATTTAGCTAGTGTTGCTGGCAACACACACATAGCACTAAATAAATGTTACGTAGAGTAGCTTGTCAGAATTTATAAAAGAGCAATCGACATTTGCTTTACTGTCAAAACATCAGCCTACGAGTTTCCTCTCTTTGGAAAGAGAATCTGGGAAATAGAAGAACACTATACAGCATATTACCTTCAAATCACAAATGCCATGGTTAAGTCTGAATCAGAAATGATAGCTGCTCTCATGCAATGAGCTCTGCATGTCCTCAAACAAAACAATGTGCTTGCAAGCCTCATTGCAGGAAGCCACCAGCAGCAGTTGCTGTATAGCTCTGAATAGAGAGACAAATGTGGATTTATCTCATAGCTTCCTATTCTACAGTCCAAACACAGATACTTTCACTGCAGATAGATGTGGAAAAACATTAGCATCAGTGCTGTACAGTGCCTGCAACTATATCGCAGTGAAGTGGATTATTAAGAACACAATGAGACTTCACTCCTAATTTCAGAGTTTGCACAGATATGGGAATTAAAGTCCACAGATCTCATTCACAATTATATTGAATAAATTCTAATATTTCTTTCCACTGTTCAAGCAACATAAAAGTCATGTTACACGTGAAGTAAGAACTCCCAGCAGTTTATCTTTCTAGGACTACATGGTGTTCTCAACATAAAAATTACATCCTCTATTGGGCAAAGGTTCATTTTACAGACCAGATCTATGGGATAAAAACAAAGACTGCAGTCAATCAGCTTTGTGATGCTATTCTGATTTTCCCTTGCTGGACTATATCTCAAGAACCACCTTTCAGCATTTGCGTAGGAGGAAAAGTTTGTCATTAGTATTACCCTGGGAGATGGGTATTATTCTCCAGGGAGTAAAAAAGGAAAAAAAGCCCAGCATCCCATGACCTACCTGTTCTCACTCTGGTAAGGGCATAGAACATGTGTGCACACAGACAGATTGATTGTCAGCAAAACTACTGCCCTGTTGCATTTAAACACATTGCTGATTCTTAATTAACCTGTTGCTAAAGAAGTATTTTTGTATCTATGTGTATATCTGTCCTGTCTTACAAGGATCTCTCACAAGGAAATCCCCTGCTCTCCCTTAGTGGTAAACCCACCTGCATCAAGCCTTTGGAGAAAAGGGAGTTCAATGGGTCTCAAATGCCCACAAATGAGTATTGTAAACCAATTGAAGAAGTATCTGCACAGACATCCATTTCCTCACCCCTTCCCATGGCTAGCCAGAGAACGACAGACTTTGGCAACAGGTCAAGGACAACCACTTTTTCATTCCTTGTTTCTTTCCTACCTTTATTTTCCTTTTGCCTGTTTTGAAATGAGTAATATCTGCATTTTTGATCATGTAGAGCAAATTCTGTCTCTGGCAGGAGGGATGCCAATGCTGTCCTATAGAAAGATTTGAGGTCATAAAATCAGTAGCATAGCCCACTACATCTGTGTTAACCCTCTTTTCTGTGTTTTTCATTCCTTCTTAAAGGAAAAGGAGACTTGAAAATAACCTAGTACTTTACTGAGAAGACATGTTAATGTCTCTCCTTTAACTGTATAAACAGCAACAATCACAATTCCTGAGTTCTAGTAGAAACTTTTCTTCCTGTTATTTCTACTAGCTCCAAGGTAAAAAAGGGTATGTTTCAAGCACATTCAAGGCCAGGCAGTGTAACAGTAACTCAGGACTAGATAAATTCTTTCAAACACTCTGAGTCACATTTTCAAAAGATTCTACATATTTCGGTAAGGCAAAATACATCTATCCCTGGGGCAGTGCATGACATCTTTCAGCTTCTTCCTTTAATGGATGGAGTGGGCATGTGTCAATCTGTGTCTGCAATCTCTTCTGTCATGGTTAAGAATTGGTACCCGTCTTCCAGATTATATATCCTTCTAATGGGAAAGGTCAACATATTGGTGGTAAGAGGCAAAGCTTGAAATAGAGCTAAGAAGGCAACAAAAGAGGGAGAAGAGAGAAAAGAAAGAATTTCAATACCATACACTAAATACGCAGATGTTAATGAAAAAATCCTCAGTGGTTACTTGACAGGGTCTCACAGAAGGAAAGCTTGGGGAAAAAAAAAATCTCTCCATTGTGCAGCATTTTTCTTTGTAACTCAACTGTATCCTTTATGTCAGCCTTTCATCTTCCCAACAGCTAACTCAGGGCATATTTACAATAAAAATAGAAGTTGGATTTGTTACAATTTGTTGAGACTGCAGATTCCCTATTAAAGGTGGTGGTATTCCTTCTGTCTGTATAGTTTTTTCTTGGGTACTGAATGTGAACTAACTGACCCTTTAGAATAGCCTCAAAAAAGTCACAAACATTGGTCTCCTTGAGAAGCCACGAAGGATGAAAGAGGAGAATTTCTGCTTTGTTCTCTAAGGTTTACTCAGTAAAAGGTAGAGAATGTGAGACTTCACTAGTTGTATACTGACTGTATGGCTTTATTTCCTAGAACAAAGGCCCTGTTCCTTCAAAGAACACTACCAGTAGCACAGGAAAATCATTTTAATATTTGACATCCATAATATTTAACACTGTGACTGGATTTTGTTCAAGAGAAAGGAATTTATCCATGCCAATTAAATAATTCACTCATAGTTCAAAAGACCCTGATAAGAGATACACCACAAACCATACTGCTTTTCCTGCTTTAATTATGAATTTGTAGTTAAAGAACATGACAGGGTTTCAGGGCTGGGCTCCACTTCCCTCTCGTGATGGGTTACTGGGGGCAATTTCCTTCATCTAATCCTTCCTGAGCCCATTCTTTGCTGGTGTAAATCAGTAGAGGTCCACCAACTGGAAAAGCACTCTGCTGATTTACAGCAGCTGTGAACTTGACCTCTTGATCAAGAGAAAAAATGGGAATGGAAATATATTTTCTGTGTCAGAAGAGTTGCTTGTTGATGTTGGTTAAGGCATTTAAGAAGTTTGATTCTTTTTAACAAATGAAACCTATATCTAACTTCAAAGACGGGAATATGAAGAAGATTCAGTCAGGTATTTTAGAGTCATTAGAATTACTAAATTGTGTACCACATTTAACGGATGGCCAACATATAGAAAATCATTCCAGGAACAGGATGCCCAATTACACTGTAGAATTTTCTTTCCATTTTCTTCCTTATATTTGGTTGAATATTTTTCATTCTTTCATGTGAACAGGAATAAAAATGCCTAGATCAGCTCTGAAAACAATATCCTGCTGCTTTTGCTACGACTGCATCTATCTGTCAAGTGTTTTAACTAACATAGGGAAAATGGCTATTTCTTACTGATGGGGCTATAGTATGAGTAACTGAACTTCAAAGATGCCGGGCCAGATTGGATAGCAAACATCAAAAGCTTTCGACTCGTGCTGAGTAAACTTTGTATTCTGACACACAAGTTCTTATCTGTTCTGTTCCAGACTTGAGAGAGAGAGGGGCTGAATATAACCAAATCACATTGTTTTTCCTTACAGCTGCCAACTTGGAAAAATATCAGGGCACAAAGGAACCATTAAAAACAAAACAAAAAAAGACATGTTTTTGTTAGTTCCTAAGCAACACAATATTGCCAAGATGGTGGCTCCTATGAAAATTAGAAAATATTAGTTACACATCACACTGTTATTTATTTATACTGCTCTGTGAAGCATTTTTTTTTTCCTTCTTGCAAACTGACAGATATTATGGAAAATCTGTTCTTCTGAGCAGGGTGTTTACACCACAACTGTTATGTATGTTTTGTCAGCAGCTCATTCCATTTGTTAATACCCATTTCTATTTTATCATTTATTTTGCTAGTTACTGATTTGGAAAAAGAAAAACAACAGAGAACGAGAGAGAGGGAGAATGAGAAAGGGGATGGAAAGGAAAAGAGAAGAGAAAGGGGATGGAAAGGAAAAGAGAAGAAAAAGGGGAGGGAAAGGGAAAGGGAAAGGGAAAGGGAAAGGGAAAGGGAAAGGGAAAGGGAAAGGGAAAGGGAAAGGGAAAGGGAAAGGGAAAGGGAAAAAGGGAAAGGGAAAAGGGAAAGGGAAAGGGAAAGGGGAAAGGGAAAGGGAAAGGGGAACGGGAAAGGGAAAGGGAAAGGGAAGGGAAGGGAAAGGAAAAAAGGGAAAGGGAAAGGGGAAAGGGGAAAGGAAAGGAAAGGAAAGGAAAGGAAAGGAAAGGGGAAAGGGAAAGGGAAAGGAAAGGAAAGGAAAGGAAAGGAAAGGAAAGGAAAGGAAAGGAAAGGAAAGGAAAGGAAAGGAAAGGAAAGGAAAGGAAAGGAAAGGAAAGGAAAGGAAAGGAAAGGAAAGGAAAGGAAAGGAAAGGAAAGGATTTAAAATTTTATATCCACCAAAATGAATCCTATTGTTGAGACTGTCAAAGTCATTTTAGAAAACTGGAAACCCTATCCCATTACTACTAATTGCACATATTTAAGAAGAACTTTTTAAAACCTCTGTCCCCTTGTCTATAGTACTCTAGGGCAGTGTGGGACACAGGAAACAATTGTGTTTCACTCTACCTTCTTCGTTATTCAGCCACAATGCATTTACCACATGGATCCTCCTACTCATGACAAAGCCTTGATTACACTGATGATGTTCCATGCTGGTGAAGGATTGAAATTACAGTAAGGTAACAAGGAAGTGTAATAGCTCTTGGGAAATGTAATTGCAACAGCTGCCCTGGAATCAAATGGCCAGCCCTTACATTTTGTAAAGTTTTACTCAAGAATTAACCTTCTGAGCTTAGAAAATCTGACTTACCTTAGAAGGTGGAAGTCACCTTAGAAGGTAGAAGTCACATTTGTTTCCACAAATACTTCACATTTGTTGAAGCACACTCAGTCTTTCCATTAAAAGTGAAAGGTAACCTATCAGAGACAGAAGAGAGAGAAGAAAAAATGGAAGCTTCTCTTATTAAAAAATTTTCATTTATTCATCCACAGTTCACAGACCTTCTGAGACACTGCAATCTACCATACTGAACTCCCACCTTTGAAACAGACTGAGGAGTAAATGCTTCAAGGAAAAATTCCAACTCAAACACAGATATCTGAGCACGTATGAATATAAACACATTTGAACAAGTTTCATCTGCACTTGTTATAATGAGTTGGGTAAATTTGGAAAGAGGCCTTTTAGGTGCAAAAGGCATCATCCCAACAATGTATAACTCAAGACCATAGCTTTTTCCAAGGAAGACACTGCAGCCTACAGAGTCAGACCACTTCTAAGATATGTTTCCAGGACTTGCCAGAAATCTTCCAGCAGCACTCTTGGTGCAAGGTGGAATATGGTTACTACATGTGGATCTCAGGCAGCACTACACAGCCACAGTTGGGAGTGCAAACAAGAAAGGAACAGTGCTAGCACTAAAGTCAGCCTGGGGAGTGTGGCCTTTTGGACTGACACAACTGCTGTACTAAGAGAGAAGGACCTTCCTTCTCATTCATCAATGAAGGAGAAATTCTGTCTGCATCACATCATGAACAGTAACCCTTGGAATAGTCTTGTCTACAAAGTTATAGGGCTTATTCAACAGAAATGTTTAAAAACTTGGTTTTGAAAGTGCATATGACTGAGGAAGGACATAAGAGTAAATGGCTCATCCATAATGATGAGGGTTTGACATAAGGAGATGTGTCACTGTATATTTCAGCTTGCTGTAAATTCACTCACAATGCACTCCTGTCTTGTGCTTTATGTCCTGAAACAGGCGCACTTGGGATGATTGAATTAATTAAATGAAACAATATTAAGGATTTTAGATTTCATTCAGCTTTAGGGTAATTCTAAACCCCAGTGACAGACAGGAAGTTTAATGACCAGTGTGAACAGACCCACTATAAAGCTATTAGACAAGTAGGACATGGTTTCATGTGGACTTTCAAAAGCTACCCCAAAATTATTACAAAACTCTTTTCAACACTTACCAGCTTGTTCTACAGAGGGCTTCTTTTGGCTTCAGTACAACTCAGGTGTTTGGGAAGACCTGAGTTTGATTCACTGACCTAACTGAGATTTTCTGTGGTATCAATTTTATGCAAATATTCTGAGATAGAATATAGGACTTCTACTGACATGCTGTTGGAGTATGAGAAATACTTGCCTTAAGAGAAAATTTAGGGGACTGTGAGACAACCAGAATTAGCCACATCTTGAATTTTCTTCTATATCTATGCTCTAACTAGTAAATTTGAACACATTTTGTGTCTTCACTGCTCTTGTGGCAAACATAACTTATGTCTAGTTGAATGATGAATTTGCAAACACACAAAATGACTTGAGATGAACAAATAATCATTTTTCCTGCAGAGTTTGCACAGATACCTGCTTTATGGATCTCTTAGGACTAAGGTAAAAATCATCAAGAGAATAAATATTTAGTTTGGGCTGCAATGGGAAAGTATGTTAACACACCTCTGCATTTCTGGATTTTGTTTCCCTGGATCCAGAAAGCCAGCGGCACCTGAAGGTAGAGTCAGAAGGCTCTGTTGCTTAGGTCAGGCTTTGTGCCCCTCAAGCTTGCACATGGACTTTGTTCATTTGTTCTTTAAATAATGAAGGTTTTCCTCAGGTAGGGTGCTGTCCTCTTTTTTTTTTTTTTTTTTTTTTTTTTTAGTTAAAAAGCATTCTATAGGAAAAGGTATGCAAGGATATCACTTTCACACCATTGTTGACATGATACGTCTGACTGCCCTCTTCTATAAGGGCTTTGGGAAAGAACTATCAAGATCTGAGCCACAGCCATCATATGCTCTTCTCCCACTTGAAGGTCTGACAGTTCAGTAAAAACACGTCCTGTCCGTGCCATACACAAATGAGCCATTTTTAGAAGCACAGGCACCCAAGTTGTTCTAAACTCCTTGGACAAGCAGCCATTGTTGTGTGATTTCAAATTCAACTAAGGTTTATGGTGTCTTTGCAAAGGACACTTGTCTCAAATCTGGTTTTACATGTGTTTTTTTTTTTCCTCTATGCTGACTATAGCCTAAGAACAAGTGGGTGATCTGGTGCTGCTTGGTGAACAGGGGTATGTGAAACAGCATGCACACGTGCACTGGCATGTGCAAATGTGGCCTCTTGTGAACTCTCAGTACTGTTTCATTACCTGAATTCTTTTAATTAATAAACATCTGCCAGCTCCTGCACTCTGTCAGAATATACCAGTGATGTTCCCTTTGTAGTGCCTTTCATTACATATGTAAACAGGCGGAAGAAAAATGGTGCTGTTATCACCTTTTGATTTTATGAGTAGCTGGGATTGTTTAAACTATAGATTAACTTTTACAGGCCCGTCTCTCTCTCCAACTACCCCAACCATGTCTGAATAGCCAACTTTCCTGTGTGAGTGTGTCAGATAAAGATCATTTTAGTAGTTGTTTAAAAGGGAGGGAGTCTCGTTTCACAGAAACTAATATCATAACGCTCATCTCCCCCTATGTGCTTTGTCACCTTTCCTCCTCACAGTTTTGAATGAGTCTATTCTCTTTGGGTCAACATCCCAGTAATGTGATAGGTCTCCTGTGTGCAACCATGATTGTAATGTTGGGGACAGTCTTTCAGGAAATTCAAGAAAGTGAGTATTTTCTTGCTTTTTTTATGTCAATATTTTTTACAAAGATTTACTTCTTATGCCATACAACTCCAAATCTCTGACAAAGAAGAGACCAGACTGTGAATATGTTGTCTAGCCCAAATGTGAATTGCATGTCCTCCCAACGGTGAGTTACTTGGGAACAGTGAAGAGTGACTGCAACAGCAATTCTTCCATCTGAGTGGTGTCGTGTGAACCCTACTCATACAGGTCTGCAAGCTGGACAACTGCATAGCCAAGCACATCACAGATTAGGTGCAATCTGGGTGTTCTCATTCTACAGCCTCGCAGCTCACAGAGTGTTTTATGAAGATATATCATTCCCCCACCTCAACTGACTAACATGCTTTTGTTTCCACCCAGCCTGAAAATTGGTTGTGGTTGAAAAAAAAGTGGAAATAAATAATAATTTCCCTGACTGCCTGTATTTCTGTTCCGTTATAATCTAATTGAATTGTCTTCCTTTTAAGATTGCCCAAAGAGCTGAATGCAGAGACACATAGAATCTGTGTAAGAGATTTTCTGCAGTTATCTTCTCTCACACTTCTGTACACAACAACCAGAGCATGTACTACCAGACTTTCACTTTAGGTGATGCAAGTCAGCAACAAGAAACATTATACAATATATACAGTCCAAAGTGTTACAGTGACTCAAAGTTTTAGTCCCCTGCTTCTTTCCCCATATGGTCTTTCCCCTTTAAATACACCTCCTTTCTCTTGAAACATTATTTCAACTAATTTGCAGCCTTTGTTTTCTGGTTCTGAACAACTCCTACCTCAACAATCTCTTTATGTAACCAGCTGTCCCCTCAGCACTGAAAGCAGCCTTAAAATCTACAAGCCCCATCTCTGCTTGCTAAGCCCTTTTTTTCCCCCCATTATGTTGCTCTTTTCAGCTCAAGTCAGTTCTGCCATTTTCATGATCAGTTCCCAAGAGGACCTCAAATAAGGTCCCAGGTGAGACATAGACTATTCTTTTCCTGGTCATATCATAGTAAGTTATGTGTACTTCTCTGGGCTTTGAAGGTTCAAAGTATTTTCTATTAGTCATTAAAAGTGAAGTCAGCGGCTGATGTGGCTGAGCTAGATTTGGATAAAGAACCTAGGTGTACTGGAGGCAGACAGAATGAAGCACTTGAACAAACATTTCTTAATTCAGGAAAAGATACAGACAGTTTCACCAAAAATACAGAGGCAAATTATATTTTCCACACAAATTTCCTGCATTTTTTTTTTTAATTCAAGATATTTACAGTGCTAGTATTAACTATCTAAGTTAACTATCAACATAAGCACTTGTGAAGAAAAGTTAGTCCATGGATACTACAGAGAGATGGTTTTTCTGCATCAACCTTTTCTAAAGTGCTTGTAGCCACACTGCACATCTGAAGTGTTTGAACTTGTGCAATTAGAACAAGTTGTCAGGGACACAAAAAGCTTTTCAGAAGAGCATAGAAGCTGTCTGTATGTTATCTACCAGTGTCATATACCTTCAGCCTAGGAATCATCAGAGCCAAGGCAGCAGGATATGAAATAAAAATCTTCTACGCCAACCCTATTTCAGCAAGCTGCGATTTTTTTCTCTAATAAACCCTCTACCCTGCAGCTTTTCCTTCTGTCTCTAAGTTCTTCTTTTTTTGTTCTCTGCCCTCTGTACTTTTTCTGTTTTCCCCCATTTCTTTGTCTTGCCCCTCCTCTCCCCTTATTTCTTTTCCCCTTTCTTTCTCTGCTCCTCACCAATGTACATTTTCTCCATATCCCAGTCCCTGCTCAGTCCCAGTTCTTTGATTCTCTTTTTCTTTCTTGCCTCTTCCCTATTCTTTTCACTCTCATTTCCTCTTTGACCTGAATTGGATTGTTGCAGGTGTCTGTGGCAAATCAAGAAGCCCTCACTTTCAACCTCATTGCAGTACACACACCTCTTTTCTATCGTAGAAGCTAGATATTCTTCTGAAATTCATAATTCAATTTTTTAAGAAAAAGGCAAGACAAAAAAGTTCTCCTCTTGAATAACTATGCTCAGAGATTCAGCACTTGGATCTAGAGTTTTGGACCCATGCCCTGAGAAGACTGGGTCCAGTTGTGAGAGTCAGATGAATTTTCCCAGATTTTGGCAATGGTTGGCAGCTGGCAAAGCCTCACAGACGGCAGACTTCCGGTTCTGGATTTCATACACTGGCTTTGTTCTGAAGCAGAACAAAATATCCAAATTTTAAATGCTGCAAAAAAAAATTACTTTGACTCATGACATTTAGCGTATATAACAACAATT